GGAAATTGGATAGGCAAACAAAATATAATTAAACTACAAGTTTGTGGTCACTACCGTATTGATGAGACAAATCAAATGGCGAGTCACCCGACTAGAACTCATGCCATAAGGTACCAAAGTCGTCCCTATGTAAAGAATAACCAGTTAAAGCCAAAATTATTTGGGTGACAAATTAAGCAAGCAAACGAACTTTAATTGAGATGACTTGTTGAGTGTATGACCGATTCGATAAGAAGAATCTGATGGTGGGTCACCACCTAAATCTAATGCTAGATGATGCTGGAATTAAACAGGATAAAAACAACTCAAATTATTTTTGATGGAATATAGAGTTGGCAAACAAACTTTGATTGTGCTAAAAATTTACGGGTACAACCTTCTCGACGAGAAGAATTCGACGATTGGTCAATCATCTGAAAACATCGATGACCTCCGAATTAGGCCGGAAAACATATACCGAATTTCATTATGTTATTCGTGATTATGTATATTGTTTGAAAAAAAAATAAAAAATTAAATTAATACACTAAGTTTGATGTCTACTAAAAGAAAATAACTTTTTTTTAAGAGACCAATACAGTGGATTACAAATAAAATTTTGTCTATGTGTACTGGCGAGCTTATTTGGGTGATATGTATCTCAAAATATTTATCAAAGGTTTGGTACACTGAATTATTACAGAGATTGCATCGTGATAGATTGTTTAACTAATATGTGCGCCAACACACATATCAATATACAACATAATTTTTTTTTAATAAAATTATATATATCAACTAAAAATTATCTATAACTCATTAAATATAAATTAAAAAAATTATTACAATATAAGTATAAGCTCATTTTAAATATAAATAATAATGCAGTTTTTTAAAGAATATTTGAAATTTAAATAACAAAATACTATCTAACTGTTTGATGTAGGAAGCCTAGAGTGGGAGGGATTGAATGAGAAGTCGTTCTCTGAACTCGATGTAAAAGTTTTATTTCAATCTCAAATTGCTTCAACCGAGGATCATTATTCGTGAGGAACATTGTGCTTCAGATCTTGATAAAGCTACTCAATAACCACGATGCAGCGTGTAACACCTCGCCTACTATTACAAAAATCAGAGTAAATTTTTCGCGCTTTATTATTTGAAAACACTTATTTGATTTTCAAAAATTCTCATTTCATTTTTGAAAACACTTTATCTTTATCTCGCGGGATACTACTAAACTTATTAACTTTATTCTTTCTTTATCTCAAAACATTTAACATTCATACATGCAACCAAGTCAAATTCACTCTAGAAGACGCCGTGAAAATACTAGAATTAAGCATGCAAAGTTTAATGCCTCATAATCTCAAATAAGTCTGAAATGCAGAAGTTGACATAGTTTGAAATTATAATCAAACATACTAGCTCAAACATGTTCAAATAGACTAAATGACATGTTTCTAAAAAATATCCTCTCGCTTATGACCAACACCCATTGTTTTAAATAGCTTACTATGTAGCTCGCTATATAGCTTTTTTTTGGAAAACGCGACATAGCCTTATATATTTAGCGTTTTTCCGGAAAAGCTTACGCGAAATGTTGAAATGGCACACTTTGTTACGCTAGTTTGCGCTATTTCACGCTATTGTGCGCTACATTGCACTATATTTCTGCAACGACATTTGAATAATAAAATATTCAAAAACTCGTATATTATTTATATGTTATTAAACACTTCCTTATGTACAATATTATTGGTTTGATTCTTTGGCAAGTAAAGTACTACATAGGTGTTCGAATTTTATCTAAAATTGCATATTATTAGTTATTAGTTAACGAATTTTAAAAAAATCAAAGGATCTTATTATTATACAAAATTGGAGTAGAAAAAAAGTATAAATTTTTTAGGATTTTCACCTATTATTTATTTTAAAATCTAATTCTAAATTTCAGTTAAGAAAACTGAAAGTTTGAAAATGCAAAGTCCTAAGGTTAGTAGTGCAATATTTATCGGTCCATTTTAGCTATATCATGTCATTTTTTGATATTCGACATTTAAATAAAGAATAAAAAGTTCATATCTAATGGTTAGAACTAATTTGTAATTAAATAAAATAATATTAATTAAATGCATATACTTAAAATTATATTATGACTTGCCTCATTATATTTTCGTTGTTTGTTTTTACTTTTTAATATATTCGATTTATTATTTAAATATTTGTATTATGATATTTACATTAAATATTGTGAAAAATCATTCAAATACTATGATAATTTTTGTAATCAACCATCCAGTTTTATTATATGCAAATATATTTGTAGTATTTCTATAAAAAAAAAAATTATACCCAAATAGCTTACGCAACACGTAACTCTATTTACGCTACGCAGTATAAAGAACAAAACGCGACGCATTACGCTATACGCGTTTTAAAAACTGCCGACATCACAGCCTGCTCACGCGCCACGCTGGACTCCGTCACCTAAAAAAAAAAAGGAAATTGGGGCGTGAACATAAAGTCCATGTGCTCCGCAGAAACCGACACTGAATATTCATCACAAACAATAACAAATCATGACATCGGCATATATATAAATAAACTGGCTATTTGAGACTACTGGACTCTCCGGTACTCATGTGCACACTCTGGGGGTCTCCTCCCAAAGAAGCCCAGGAAGGCTCGCTTACCTTCATCTGGGCGCTCGACTTAGGACGGGCCCGCTCACCACACATCCAAGTCATATTAACTCGACCCAGGACTGACACGCTCATCCATCCCGGTCCTTAATCTACTCACACACATACCTCAGGCATGATAAAGAATTATAGGCAATGTAATACACAGTACATGGTCCCCACCTGATAGCTGGTGAATGCAAATGCTGGAAAAGATGCGTAGCTGCCAGAGGTTCGACTCTCCTCAAGCTACAAAATATTTGAGCAAAATATATTCTATGTACTTGGGTCAACTTGAAAAACTCGGTTCTTAAATATTTGATCTTACTAGGTTCATTCACTCGATTTTAAAAACATTTAAATCTCATATTTAGAAAATTACGAGCTAAGTTGAAAAATTACTGTCCTGAGGCTGTCTAAGGTTCTCGGAAAAATTATCTTAGTCAAGAGCTATTTACCTGACATAATCTTAATCTGACTCGGCTCGAAAAAATACTAAGTCTCGGCTCACGCTCGAATCGGAATTCTGTACTGAAAAATCTCAAACCGTTCGAACTGCCCAGACCGGTTCGGCTGGATTGGACCGGCTGTTCGCTCAAAACCGGCCGATTGCTTGATGGCTAGGCACCGCTAGACCGCGGTCAGGGTCCGACGCGGCAGCTCACGGGCACACGCAGACACAACTGACACGGCCTTGCCGACGCACGAGTCTTATGAGGTGCGTCGCGGCCACTGGCACTTGGGCGCGCTATATCGCGGCTGGCGGGACACGGGCGCTGCAGGCAGGGCTAGTGGCTGGCGTGACGCGCGGGTAAAAGGCTGGCTGGTAGGTGCGCGCGGGCGCTGGGCAGAGCTCAGGGGCGCGGCTCGGTCGGTCCTGGTGCAGGGGCATGTATGTTAGATATGCTGTAAAAGCATGGATTTCAGATTCTAGCAATTCTATTTTTATCTGGCAATCATGTTTTAGTCAAAGTATTTATGTTTGCAGTTTATTTATTTATGCAATCATAACTCCTTTATTTTACATTGTAGATAGTATGGTTCGTCGTGTCGAACAGAAAGATCATACTATCGGTTCCTTGTAAAATATAAACTAATTGTTCACAGTTTAGACAGGCAGTGAGACCCCTGTTGGAAAAGACTGTAGTGTAAGTCTTGATTCGGTTGATCTTTGATTGATGGTTTACACATCTACTTATGATAAGTATTGAACAGGACCGCGGAAGGCTAAGATTACAAGATTTATTGATCGCAGTTATAATCTAAACCTTCAGTAATTGATGCATACTCTTAAGCTGTAAGATAATATAAAATGGGCATATATATTCATTACTTATTTATTTAATTTACCATGGGTGATTCCTATTCTTTTAGGACGATATACTCGGTATTTTGGTAAATGAGGGTGTTTATATGATGTGCTGTTATAAATTATTTACGGTCACTATGTCCCAGTGTGCTGGGTTGATGACGTCCCCGAAATGAGCTCAGGAAGGAATATTATGTCAAGCCCTGCAGGCGGATGTGTATCTGACATATGATTAATGATCTTAGTGGTATTAGTTTCGAAAATGGATAAGAAGTTGATTAATTATTTTGTCAGTAATTTAATTAATCAACGGACGTTATATCTTAAACATAAGAAGATAAATTGATCAATTAAATTAATATTAATTTATTAATTGGAGGTTCGAATTTATTGAATAAATTGGAGCTAAATGGGAAGAGCAATAATATTACTCTAGTGGAAATATTTTATTATTTAATTCTATTTAAATTAAGGAATTAATTTTATTCCATAATTAATATTCCATTAGGAGAGGAATATTCCTTCTAGAATATTACTTAGGGTTAGGAGACTAAAAAGTCTTCTAGAAGGTAATTAGGGTTAGGAGGAATTCTATCCTTGGTTGGAAAAGTATATGGAATAGAATTAAGTTTTCTTAGCCTATTAAGATAAACCCATATTTAGCACCTCCTTAAGGTCCCTAATGTAGCCCATAAATACACCATGTCCCAACCTCTTCCCCTACGCTTGTGACTCGATTTTAAGGTATTCCCAAAGAGAGGAAAATCGAGAAAACAAAAATATTGAGAGTTCGATAGTTTCGATTAATCGCCCACCAAGATTATTCGAAGTAGGTGTAAAAGTTATATATTAGAAGGCTTTAGGGTACAATATTTATCGAACCTTTTATGTATATATTTATATATATAATTTTTTCGGCGACCCCACGATTACCGGCAATCGCCGGCAACTCGCCAGAATTTTCCCAGAATCCACCAGCCACGGCCAAGTCCTTCAGTTCGCGCCCAGGCGTCCAGTCCACGCACAAGATGTCCAACATGCTTGGCCCGTTCGCAGTAGTTCAGAGCCCAGACGCGCAGCCCAGGTGTCCTTTGTGCGGCCCGTCGCCAGTGAAGCCCAGCCGCATGAAGAAGCCCAGTAGACGTGCGCAGCCCAATTCAACACGCCAGCCCAATACGCGGCGAAGCCCAGCAGGAGTGGATGAAGAGGTGCGGGCCGTCCCAGCCCACGAGAACCCACGTCCCTCAGCAGCTTCGTTCCGTGCACAGTCCGCGAGAGCCCGCGCGCGGCCCAGCTCCTTCCAGCCTGTTCCACAGCCCAACCGAGCGCGACCGTGGCCCAATTTGCTCCAACGCAGCCCAATTGGTGTATCCGCGCCCCAGCGCGCCTCAACTCAGCCCAGCACGTCTTCTAGCAGCCCAAACGCGTCCATCTTGAGCCCAACAAGCAGCAGGTGGTCCAGCAGCATGGCAGCAAGTTCCAAACCGGTTCAACTCGGTCTAGAAGCCCCGGTTCATGTCCAAGACGGTTTTCGAGCAGTCCGATTAATTTATCGAAGGTCCGAGACAACTCGATGAGCCCGACGAGCAACCAGAACACAATGATGACTCGATTAAAATCAAGAAAGGCCAAGTCCAGCAGCCCATCGGATTCTGGTATTCAGACGATCTCCATCAACGGAAATAAAAAACCTCTCAGAGTCGGCAAAATTTTTAAACTGTAAGTCCTAATCCTAACTATAGATTCTGCTGCGTTAGGATTTATTATTCAATAAATTTGAACGTGCACATAGCCGACGTTCCTAATAGAAACCAACAACGTACTCGGGTGGCTCTGCAACGGGGCACTGTGACAGGACATGGACAGGCACACGAAGCAGGGACGAGACTAGCGCAGACAGAGGCGCGAGCTGTGGACGCGCGCGAGTGCACGCTGGCTGTTCTGCGACGCGCGGGGTGAGGTGTGCTCGGACCCCATGCACACGTGCTGCTGCGAGACACGCGGCACTCGGCAACACTATTGGGCGCGGACTGCGGGCGTGACCAGCGGCTCACCGGCCGGCCGGTGACTTTTTCGGCAACTGAGGGCTCATTAGGTTCCTTATGATGTCTAGAGTCCATTTATACGATAATGACTCCGGATATTATGCTCAGACTTTAAAATCACTCGATGTTAAAAAACGAGCAAATCTAGGGTTCTAGTTCACTGGACATCTTAACTCATTTCAAGCCGAAACTTTTAATCATAAACTCAACATAATAGAGGGGTATTCCAGATCTACTAACCTCAGCAAAAACATACTCGTATATAACCTTTACAAAATTCACCAATTTAGACTTAAGATCCGATTTTTGAATTCTTATCAAACGAACTCCAAAAATTCTCAAATTTTAAACACAACCTCAACATGATATTTAAGATTTTTGGGTAAAATATCTCAGCAAGATCAAATCTATAACTCGTTCAACATAATATAGCCATTTTAGGTCTAGATCTAAAATTCTAGTTCACATAGCAAATGAACTCCAAAAATTCCCAAATTTAAACCTCAGCCTCAAGAAAGTATTATATGATTTTAGCTATTTAAATCACAATTTTCTCACATGCTCATCTCAAGATCTAAAAATCAACCATTAAATCACAATAAATCTAGATCTATTTATTCTACTACATTTTTCTTAATTTATATTTTCAAAATACTTTTGAATTCACATCTAAGCCATAGGAGGGAGGGTTTATATAGATCTATACTTAGAACTCAAAATCAAAAAAGGAAGATGGAAAGTGCTAGTGGCGAGCGGGTGCGGGCCGGATCTGGCGTGCTGGCTGGTTGGGCGTGCGGATCTGGACACGGCCGAGCGCTGGGAGGAGGGATCTGGAGGTTGGCACACGGATATGGGCTGCTGGAAGTGAATCTGGGCATGGGAGCTCGGATCTGGCGCGTGCTGGCGTGCGGTATGGGGTCCTGGGTGTGAGGAAACTGCTGAGGCTAGCGGTGGCGTGCTGGGAGCGTAGACTGCGGACATAGGCTCGACTGGTGGGCGTGTGGCTGCTTCTGGGTGCTTGGTTGAAGGGGGTGCTACAGCGAGGAACAAGGCGTGCTATGATTAGGCTCGGGTTCCGTCGCCGAGAGTTAGGGCTCGGTTAAGGAGGTGGTCGGGTGCTTCGTATAGCTATGGAAATTTATAGACATAGCATAATATTTTGGACTTAGGAGAATATTTGCTTGAATGCTTAGGACTTGAAATGGTGTTGGGAAAATGAGGTTAAGTGATAAGAGCTCATTACATGCTACATAAAATTAGGGTTTGGAGAGGACATGATAGGTGGGAGGATTTAGACTCTTCTTAAGCTTGGTAGGTGAGACATTAACTGCTATTCATACTTGAGTCTTGGTGACCAAGACAAAATAAACCTAATGCATTTGATTTCGGCCATATGAATCTGATGGTATCCACTCCAAAGATCCAGTTTGGAAAACACTGTAGCCCCGTGCAACTGATCCAACAAGTCATCCAGTCATGGAATAAGAAATTAGTAACGTATCGGGATCTTGTTGATCGCGCGACAGTGGACGGACATTCGCCAAGGTACTTCTTCAAAATGAGTAGCGCAGGCACCGCACACAGGCTGAGGCTCCTGCGAATAGACCCCCGCTGTAACAACTCCTCAATCTGATGATGAAGCTCTTCGTGTTCCACTGGACTCATCCGATAGTGAGGCCGATTGGGCAAAGAAGCGCCCGACACCAAATCGATATGGCATTGAATATCCCGTACCAGTAGGAAACCACTCGAGAGTAGTCCTCTAGAAAAACATCGACAAACTCATAAAGCAAAGGCTGAATCACGTCAGGAGGTGAGCCATCCGAGACCGAGTCTGCACCTAAAACAATAAGAACCATCGGAGCCTCGTGCATCTCACAGACAAAGTCAGACCGTCAAAGAAACAACATCGATGAAGAAGAGGGTGCCTAAACTGAAGATGTAGGTGTCGAAATTGAACGAGGCAGGGGTGGGTGCAAGACGATGCGGACGCAATGGAAAACAAAGCCATACATGTTCAGGAGCCCATCATGTACTACTGCTCTATATAACTGCCACGACATGCCCCACTACATGTGGCAGGCGTCCATCGGCACAATGTCACACAAGATATCATCTTTATACCTCGGGACGATGGAAAAGGCCACCAACACACACTGATTCACCGTGACCGAGCCCCCCTTTCTGAATCCAAGCTAGCGTATAGGGCTGAGGATAGGGGCCCGGTCGTTAAATGCAACTTCGATACTGCCTCTGAAAACACCACATTCTCACATGTGCCAGAGTCAATCATAAATCACCAGACACGACCCCCAACCATGCAAGTTGACTTAAACATGTGATGGCACTGTCACTCTCAGTTGTGACATGTAGAGATAAAAGAGATAAATGAAGGACCAACGCGTGACCCACGTCCCCCGTCACCGTGCTCCTTCGTAACCTCCAGCTCCTTATCAAAGATAGGTGGACCGGTATACTCCACGGTATCTTGCTCGTCGACCAAAAGGGCTCGTGAACCACCCGCATTCAAACATTGGGCCTGTCTATGCCCTGGTTCTCCACAAGTAAAGCATTGCGGGGTGCTTAATTATTGAGTGTGGCCCCTAGGTATGGGGCGACTCTCATGACCCCCGACTGCAGACCCAGACGATGCGGTCCCCACACTAGGCCAAACAGGCACTGTTGGCACTGATGTCACCGTGCTCGCCGAAGGCTGTCGTGAGGAAGTAAAAGTCAAAGTCGGTCGAAGGGCCTGCTGCTGCTCAACCAATAATGCGCGCTGATGTGCCTCAGAAACATAGTCTAAAGTAAACAGGTTCATCACGTCCTGGATGGAGACCTGTAGTCCACCGATATAACGTGAAACCAACTCTTCCAGAGTCTCGCTATAGTCATCAACCCTGCACTAGCCTTGTCGAAGGTTCTGTAAATGCTGATATAATGTACGGACAAAATCAAATGACAAAAAATCTCATTCAAGATACTTACGAAACTTTGTCCACGAAGTGATTTTTGCTTTGACCTGACGATGTCGCACGCCCTTCAATTGCAGCCACCAAGCGGCCGCGCATCCCTAAAGCCGTGTCACTACGAGCGCGACGAGTCGGTCGTTCGGGACGGCCTTGTAATTGAGGGTGGACTCGACGACGGCCAACCAATCAAGGAAATCGACCGCGTCAAACCCTCTAGTGAACTCTAGTATTTAAACACAAAAAGCCGATTCCCATCGACTATCACCATCACCCTCAGCCTCATGCCGGCGAAAACAGACCACACGTCCTGGATCATCGAAGCCAGTCGTCGGGCCACCGAAATCAGTCGTTGTTGTGCGCCTTTGGTCGCGCGCACTGGGTTTCTCAAAATCCTCGGCCACACTGCCTCTAGCCCCTATTCATTGCCGAAAAATGCTCCCATGCACTGCTACTTGCGTGGCCAGCGGTCCGCCACACTACCGGCGTGCTAGTATCTGCCGTGGTCGTCGCCGAAGCTGGCTCCGACTTTCGCTCACCCAGCCTAGCGCGAAGCCACCGCCTGTTCACCGCTGCTCGCGAAATCGGGCTGCCCCTAAAGTTTCGTCTTCATCCGTTCACCGCCATGTGTGAAACCTCCTCTTGCCTGCTGCTGGACGCGAAATCGAGGCTTAATTAGGGTTTTATCCGACCAGGTAGAATCATCGTCGTCACTTTCGTTCAAAGGAGGCGGGGACCGCTGTCCGGGGCGCCCCGCCATGCCCGCGTCCCCCACTACCACCTTTGCTCCCCCGCGATAGTCACGACCTCCATTGCGGTTCGTCTGCCATTCCCTGATCACGGTATTGAGCGAGAGACAAGTATCTTCCATCCTCGTCGAGAGATCGTCGAACTAATTATCCATCACTTGAAACCGATTGTCCACTTGTTGAAAGCGATTGTCGATGTCGGCATCACGTTGGTCAGTTGCTGCATCTCATCTACGCAACGACATCGTAAATCGTTTCGACAATTTATACCAAATGATGTATGGAACGTAGAGTGGGAGGAATTGAACGAGAAGTCGTTCTCTGAACTCGATGTAAAAATTTTTTTTTCAATCTAAAAAAATTATCAATAACAACGATGCGACGTCTCTAAATAAGTCCCTAAACAAGTCTTACAACCCAAGTTCTAAACATAAAAAGTCCAACATGAAGGAATATAAACATAAATAATAGGAATAAGTAAAAATACAATCAAAATTGGGACGAAAGTCAATCATGTTTGATTGTTTGTCAAGGAATGCTAACGTAATTTTGTCGGAATCACTTTTTTTAAAAAAAAAATAAATCAGTACAAGTTTTTAACTAAAATTCAGGTGATAACGAATATTGTACTAAACAATTAGTAAAAACTTAAAGTAAAATGAAAAATAGGAGATGTTGATACATGATATAGAGTATATGCATGTTGCAACACTAGTAATTGTCTCCAATTCTCCATTTCAGGTATGCTACTAAATTACATCAATTGCTTTACAACTTTTAGATTATGGTTTAACAATTAAAAAGTTAGTGGACAAAGGCACAGAAAAATGAAATGATTAAAAAGTTGAAGCAGAGATTAAATTAGTTGATGGATTTTGGGTAATGGTGCAATAAATCAGTGTATTATGAGTTATGACTTGACTCGAGGGCCTCTCCTCCGACAGCGGGGCCCAGTGCCGGAGCTCCCCCGCCTTTGCTGGTGACCGTGATGGAGTTAAGTATCTTAACTACGGTTAAGAAGGGCCCAATAAACTTGGCCAATATTACGGGTTTTTGGTATATGTACAGTTCATCAAATGATAGGCTGACACGTTAACCTACTGTCGCTAGGCTTAAGTAGCCATGACTTCTCTGACACTCAAAGATGGCGGAGTTGAATTTTTTATTTAAATAATATTGGATCACTTGATGCGTCGTTTATTTAATAATCTAATTAAAAAGTTGTGTCCAATTAATTGCATGTGTTGGTTGATTAACGACTCTGCTGCCAGTACCACTCCAAAATTCATTTCATTTAGAATTTATTATGGGAATATATAATAATGTGTCTGGTTAAAGAATGGATGGATATAACTAGGCTAATCGCGCTGAAGAAAAAAAGATCGGATAGAAATTATAAACAGGATTTTTTTNNNNATCCTTATTTTGTTGCCACTTTAAATATTTTCTTTTGAGCATTTTTGGTTATGGATATCTCCAATTGAATTAGACGTATCACGCATGTGCTTCAAATATAAATTATCTCGTGGATGTAACAAATCTTCTCAAACTTAAATTTAAAATTTGAATTCTTATTCTTGTAGTCATAACCAGGGATGTTGTCGAACCGAACTGTTCGCGACAAAGTTCTTTCGTGTTCGATAACAGCTCGTTCGTTTAGCAATCGAACCGAACTAGAACATGGAATTATGTTCGTTTAGTTATCGAACGAACACGAACACGTTCGCAAACTAATCGAACGTTCGCGAACAAAAAAGTATTTATAATTTTATATATTATATATAGTAATATTGTATATAATATATTTAATCTAATACATAAATATGAATATATATTAAATATTAAATAAAATAAATTGTATGAAATTAAAATAAAATAAAATAAGTTAACAAGCACGAACACGAACTTGTCGAACAATTTGAACACGAACTTATTGAACAATTTGAACAATTCGAGCAGTTCACGAACAAGTTCGACTAGATAAACGAACGAACACGAACGTGTCGAACCAATAAACGAACGAACACGAACAAAATTTTTTATTCGTTTAATAAACGAACGAACACGAACATGATCGAAAATTAGTCGAAATCGAGCTCGAAAATCTTAACCTCGGTTCGGTTCGATTCGATAATAACCCTAGTCACAACTTTCACTACAAAAGCTCTTATATTACAATGCAAAACTCAAAATTCAAAAATCAAATATTCCAATAGTATAACTTCAAATGAAAATTTTTACTAGCGATCAATATCTAAATATTCTGTTGGAATTAAATTTCTCTTGAAATTTTAGTTGAAATTTGACGATTCCATTGATAACAGCTTATTTTTTAGAGATTTCTGTTGGATTTTATTTATCCATGCCATATTCAAGAAAACTTTTATTGGAATCATTAAAAGACAATGAAATTTTCAATTAAAAATCAATTCCAACTGAATATGTTTGTTGGAATCCGATGAAAAATCGCAAGGGAGTAGTAATATTAATATATTCATTGAAATTTGTATTGGAATCCCATTAAGATATATTTCAGTTTGAATTTCATTATTATTTTTAATTGTAGTGTTTGGTATGCTTTGCTAAACTACCTTACATTAGCATATTATTGTTACTGTTACATTAGCATAAGTTGGAAGTTGATTGAAATATATTTCAAACTTCATTAGCATATCTTAATGAAGTTCTTGCATTATTTAGAGGTAAACCTACCTTACATATTAGTGTTACTGCTACAACGAAGCCCAATACCGGTGATCCAGTTTGTTAGGTAACAAGCTCAGCTCTGGGCCTGTTTTAGGCCCATCAGCAATTGATAAACATAACGTATTGTCTTAACATTGTTCATTAATCTTAGCAAGAACAAAGCCAAATGGGCCAGAAAATGCTAATGACATCATTGGGACCACTTGATCCGTATTTTTATTCATGATTTTGTAGATTTGAAATTTTAAGCAGGGCGTATCGATAAATTTATTTTGCGCTATTTTTGGAGCCATGGCGAGGGCTCGCGGGGACGGCGGCAGACTCACTGGGTGAAGTGGGACTCCATATGTCGCCCCCATTCTGAGGGTGGGCTCGGGATTCGGCGTTTCTCTGATGTTGTTACTGCGTTTTCCTACAGGATGTGGTGGCGCCTTAGGGAGAGGGGATTATATATTTTTGAATAGTCATAGATTTAATTTAGTACACATAGAAAATAAAAAATTGTATTATAAAATTATATTTAATTATAGTGCAATATATATTATAAAGTTTCAAACAGTAGCAAATTTAGATTGATCGCTCTCTCAACTCATGACTCAATACTAATAGTTTCGATATTTTTTCTTTCCATTAAGCATATCATATATGGTCTTCTTTTTTAAAAATTATTAATTTTTATGCCTTCACATATTTACCATACATTCAATTTATTAAAATTAAAAAAATGGTACACAAAAGTATAAAAGGAGAATAATTGTAGTTGAATTATTAGTATAAAGAGAAATATAATTATTATTTTAATATAATTGCGTGAGCTTATGCAAAAAATGATATACTAATCATATACATATACACTAAAAATTACAAATTTTGGGGGCCCCCCCATCATACACCTGGATCCGCCTATGATTTTAAGGACGGTACACTTGTGTTTCAATTAGAGTGTATAAAAGAAACGAGCAGCTCGTGAATTCAACTAAAAAATATAAATTTTTATGTATAATTTTATATGACTCGGTTTGTTAAAATACAAGTTTCAGCTCGTTAATAATGATAAATGGCTCGAGGTAGAACTCGTCTCGAGCAGAAATAAAGACATGACTAGAATATCAGAACTCGAAATCAACTTTTTTACAATCAAAATTGATCAAATTAACCACACACACACACATAAGGCGGACATCTTTTACATCCTATTATGTACATGCTCTTTCTTCTACGCAATTCCATATAAAACTTTTATTTCACCCCAAAACTCATAAGTGATATGCGATATATATTATAAAGTTTCAAACAGTAGTAAATTTAGATTGATCGCTCTCTCAACTCATGACTCAATACTAATAGTTTCGATATTTTTTCTTTCCATTAACCATATCATATATGGTCTTCTTTTTTAAAAATTATCAATTTTTATGTATTCACATATTTACCATACATTCAATTTATTAAAATTAAAAAAATGGTACACAAAAGTATAAAAGGATAATAATTGTAGTTGAATTATTAGTATAAAGAGAAATATAATTATTATTTTAATATAATTGTGTGAGTTTATGTAAAAAATGTTATACTAATCATATACATATACACTAAAAATTACAAATTTTGGGGGCACAATGGCCCCCTGGATCCGCCTCTAATTTTAAGGACGGTACACTTGTGTTTCAATTAGAGTGTATAAAAGAAACGAGCAGCTCGTGAATTCAACTAAAAAATATAAATTTTTATGTATAATTTTATATAACTCGGTTTGTTAAAATACAAGTGTCAGCTCGTTAATAATGATAAATGGCTCGAGGTAGAACTCGTCTAGTTAATGAGTCGAGCAGAAATAAAGACATGACTAGAATATCAGAACTCGAAATCAACTTTTTTACAATCAAAATTGATCAAATTAACCACCCACACACACACACACACAGACATAAGGCGGACATCTTTTACATCCCATTATGTACATGCTCTTTCTTCTACGCAATTCCATATAAAACTTTTATTTCACCCCAAAACTCATAAGTGATATGCGATACGATAAT